CCCAAACATTCATTTCGTCCATTTCCCCTCTTTGGCTAGGAATGCAGAGGCACTTTTGGGGAGAAGAGAACAAAGGGGGAGAATTTACCCCAAAGGTCAACCATCTCCGTCACAATTGAAAAACCCAAGTTTACCTTGTTGGCGGAACAATCCATGCACGGTCATTGGAAACGGCTATGTCCTTGACTAGGCAGAATGAATTCAGTTTAGTTTTGTTGCTGTTTGTTTGCTTTAACCAGCGGGTGCACACACTTGCCAGGAGAGAGAGAGAAGGAGAGGAAGAAAGCACTCTCCAATGAGGTGTGGTCATGCAGTAATCCTTTCTTTTCTATTTCTCCATCCTGTGGAAATTTGGGCCACATACACACACATGCACCCAGCATGTTTTTCCTTTTGTTCCCCAAGCCATCAACTTCAGATTAAAACTCTGGTCAACCATGTGGAATCCAGTTCCCACTTAACTATGGGGCCAGCCTATGTCTAATAATTTTAAACTATTAAGTTATCAGAAAAGTTATGACATATTTTTCTATGCAAAAATGTGCCATGACTTCCCCCAAAACCTAATACATTATAGAGGGAAAAAGGGGAAGTAGTCATCAAATCCAGTCATCATTGTCCATAGGCCTCACCCTCTCAGGTCCAGGGTTCCAACTCTGAGACAATCTATCGTTAGAGATAATTAGGATCATGGTCACCTCCAAGGGATCATAGTCAACTCTGCTCCTCTTCTGCTTTGCTGCTGGCCAGAAACTAAATGTCCACTTCCAATAACCTCCCCTTCCTTGGGAAGCACAACTGCAGCCATCATGCAATCTGTGCACTGCACAGGATGACCAGTCATGTGTCCTGCTGTGGGGTGGCAACTGCTCGGAGAAAGGACCTTTCCTTTACACAAGGGTGCCCCCACTCACTAAGTCTTGTGCCCACAGGGTTGAGTGAGCCTAGAAGGGGGGGCTTTTCTTTTTTAAAATAAGTATTTTACTTATTTGTTTGCTTGTTTGTTTAAATTTTATCAGAGAGGAAGAGTGAGAGAGAGAGAGAGGGAAAGTGAGAAAGGAAGCCACCAGATCCAGAACTCGAACCGCAATAAGCCATATGGGAGTCCAGCGCCCTTTAACCACCATGCCTTCTGCCAGCCCGGGGGCTTTTTTACATCTGTGGGCTGGGAGAGCCCTGCTGGAGAATTACGAGGGATGGAGGTATGTGTGGTGGGAAAAGAGCTTCCACCCTGGAGGAACATTTTTCGTTTATTTCCCCAGATACTGAATCAACAGTCATCTGATTCACTCCCGAATGCATTAGGTTTTTCATAATCTACCTACTAATCTCATCCTCATTCCTATGCAGTCTCTGGGAAGCCAAATACTAATTACAGTGGGTCTTCTGTCTTCCTGCCATTTTTCAGTGTTTTTATGCACTATTTCCTTTGTTTAAATGTTGCTAATACTGTTTTTTCTCTCTTTTTTTTTAATTTTTAATTTCCACTGCAAAGAGACAGAGAGAGAAAATGAGAAAGCACCCCCTAAGGGGAATGGCTATGCAGCAATCCCTTCTCTTTTATTCCCCTATCAGGACTTTGGGCATGAACGCACACATATTCTGTTTTTCAAGCTGCTAGGTCAAGGATTCAAAATGTGAAGTTGACAACTGGGATCCAACTGCCTTAACCACATAGCCACCAGTTGGCCCTCTCTCTCATTTCTGTTTACATTTTAAATTTTCTGAAATAGGAGACTTTTCTGATCTGCCCTGAAAGGGAGTCTTTTTTTCATCTGTGGGCTGGAAGTGCGGTGCTGGAGAATTATGTGGGATGGAGGTATGTGTGGTGGGAAAAGAGCTTCCACCCAGAAGGGACATTTTTCATTTATTTCCCCAGGTGCTGAATCAACACTGATCTGATTCCCTCCAGATGTATTAGGTTTTTTATAATCTAACTATTAACCTCATCCTCACTCCTATGCCACCTCTGGGAAGCCAAATATCACTATGATAGGTCTATTTTCTTCTCCTTGACTTAATGTGGTCTCTGTGTTTCTGTACCTGTTTTTACATTGTGTTGACTCTTGCACATTTACCATCTTTTTTTTTTTTTTTGGAGAGGTTTTTGCTATAGGTTGCATACGTTCACTAGACAGACAGAGACAGAGAGACAGAAAGTGAGAAAGCACACCACAGGGGGGATGGCCATGCCACAATCCTTTCTCCTCCATTCTCCTCTTGGGATTTTGGGCACGCGCGCACATGCGCCCGGCGTGAGTTTTAAGCCACCGGGTCTGGGATGCAAACCGTGGTCGACTACATGGGAGCCCAGCGACATAGCCATTACGCTAACTGCTAGTCCCACATTTACCATCTATTTAACATGAGTGTTCAGGAAAGGCTAAAAACATGTCCAAATCTATTCTTGGAGAGTTCTAGTGTGAAGTTAAATGCATTTGGGTATTAATAAATGATATTTGATGCCCATAAGACACTGGACACTTATCTCATATTGATGATGACATCAAGATGATCCCACACTCTGAGTTTTCAAAATTGAAATATAGCTATTTCACATTTAAATAAAATGGCAGAGGAAATCTGGAAAATACTACGTTTCTTAAAATGATGCTCTTGAAATGTAGTTGAATTTGTTATTCAGTCAGGAGTTTTCAACAGACGTTGCTTGTATAAAAAACTTACGCAGTGAATCTGCCATTAGGATATAGGAAGCTTTAAATCAGATTTAAGTCTCATCATGCCTGGATAAATGTGCTAATATTTCAGTCAGTCTCTAGGACAGCTGTTAAAACATTTGGACTCTGTAGACCAAATGGGACTTTTGAATTTCATATGAGTTCTGTGTTCTAATTCTTACTACTTTTTGCTTTTCTAATTAGAAAACAAATACTGGTTTCTGTTGGTGAACATCAAGATTTACCGATCCAAATATATCTTTCAGAACAATAAATTTTGAATTTCATTAAAGCATACAGTTGACACATATGTCACAGTTTCTGAATGCTTTCGATAGCATAGGGAAACTTCAGAATTTTGCACATACAACATTTAGGTTGGAAGCTAACACTTGTTAACATTTGCAGTGGAGACAGCAGTTCTGACAACTTTGCTCAGCTAATCAGACTTTTTTTTTAATTCTTAAAAATACAACAGTTTGGGCAAGCAAGTGGCATGGCAGATAAGGCACTGGACTCCCACATGGTCAATTGCCACATTGGAGACCTGGATCTGGTGGCTTGAATATCATGCCAGGCATGTGTGTGTGCATGCCCAAAATTCCAGGAGGAAAATGGAGGAGATGGGATTGCAGTGTGACCATCACCCTGGGGAGTGATTTCACACTTTTCTTCATTGTCTCTCTGTCTCTCTGCTGTGAGCACACATGCCCTATGGCAAAAACATTAAAAAAAGAAAGAAACACAACAGCTTATTTTCTTCCAAATTCCAGAAAACATTAAATATTTAAGTTCTCTTTCTTTAGTTTTTAGTTTCTTTAGCTATGAAGTGAAAGTCCTCATTTCTCTATGGGTTTCATGATTAATCATGAATATGGTCCTTCATCATTCAGGATCACATTTTTCATTATTTTTTTCCCTTTATTTATGATAGAGTATGTTCCTGTGAATGTAAATGATAGAGTGAGGAAGAGAGAGAGATGAGTGTCCTCCACAGGTACATGCCACAATTCCCCTTCCTCTAGTCTTCCAGGACATCAGATCTTGGGCATTTGAATCCATACTTGAAATCTTAGGTACTCATATACATGCCTGGTGTGTTCTCAGGTTGACCAGGCTGAGGATTTGATATGTGGCCACGTGTGGGATTTGGGTTTTCTTGAGTGGCATATTACTACTGGCACAGTCACTCCAGAAAAAGACAGGAGAACAAATAAAGAGGGAGAGGAAGAAAACACCCCCCATGGGATGCAGACATACTGCAATCCATTCTCCTCCATTCCACCGTTCTGTTGGGATTTGGGGTATGCATGCCCATGTACCCAGAATGTTTTTCAAACCAAGGGCCATCTTTTCATACATTCTCTTAATATGCTGAGAGTCAAGTCATTTAATTTAATTTATGTCATCTCTTTCTCTTTAAGGTGTTCTAACTCCATAAGACTTGTCAGAAAACTGACTCTCTTTAGGGCCAGGGTTCTAACTATTGGGTTGCACTGTAACATATAGGATGGAAATAAATTCATAAAATTTAAAGAATCTTTCATCCTTAAATTTATTCTTATCTTTTTTTATTGCCAAAGAGTACATGCACCCACCAGAGAGAAAGAGAGAGAAAGGGAGAGAAAGAGAGAAAGGAGCGCCCATTGGGTATGGTCACAGTGTAATGTCTTCAGTTCTTCTCTCCTGTCAGGACTTTTTTCTTTTTGCAGGGGGTGCATGCATGCACATGTACCTACCATGTTTTCCTAGTTGTTGGGCTGGGAGTCAAATTGCCATAGGCAGTGTGGGATATCTGCTGAGCTAGAGCGCTGTCCCCATTTTCTATTTTTATTTAAGTTTGCTTAAGTTTGTTTGGTATCAAAATATGGTATGTACCATAGATTCTCTTCCATTCCATCTCCAAACAAATTCAAATATTTAGAAGCATTAATTCAATATTGTGAGCCTAGAGCAAAGAATGTGTCTAGGTATATTAATTGAGTCAGAAATAAAATTTAATGATTGTTATTTTTGTTTTTACTAATACAAACCAGGTTAGCAGTCTAAAATTTAACATACTTCTGAACAATCCTACACATATCCTATTTTTTATCAGGAGCTCAAAAAAAATGTTTGATAAGCTGTAGATTTATTAGATGGTATTTTGGTCTAATCACAAAGCACAAATATAAAACCATAGTCATGTTTACAAGAAAAACTATACAATAATGCTGTATACTAAAATATTATTAATGCTGTTTCTGAGAATCAAAGTGTCAGCTGGCTGATTTTGCTTTTATGATGTATATTAACATCTTCTTGTAGCATGACAATGCCACTAAAAAAGTTCACCATTTTTTAATATTTTTTGATCACCAGTATGCATTAGTAGTTGGCAACTCCATTTTAATGGCAGTAAGGTGAGAATTCAGTCAAAAGAGCACAGATCCGTTTTGATGAGCTATTTGATCATAAAACATGCAGCAGTGAATTTTCAATTCACAAGCGAATTCTTTCATTCAGTGAAGATTATTATTGTAGTTGGCACAATCATGAGAAAATTTTTCTCTTGATTAAAAGTACTTTTCACCATTAGATTGGCTATGGCATGCAAAAGGTCCAAGAACTCTACCACAGTGAGGCAGCTACCTTACCAGCATGATCTAGTCATAGATTAATGGCTGCCTTGATCAAGCTCTGACATAAAACTTAGCCCATTTCGAGAGAATGCATCTTGGCGAAGTCCCTCACACCTTCTCACTAGCTAACCAGACATGGGTCATCATTGCTTGGCTTGACTTCTCCTTCCAGCAGCAAATTCATCACCACCTTTGTCAAATAGCTGCAAGTTCCTCTTTTTCCCAGGGGAGGAGTGTTGTAAAAGGAAGTCATGTCATCCTACAAAGGAAAACAGCAAGCAAGTTGTTTGATTTTTTTTGTTTGTTTGTAAAGAGTTGACAGGTAAAATCAATGTCAGCCCAGGGGGGAAAATAAATTCACAGAAAGATTTCCTCATGGAAAATATGAGCTTCCTGAGATGTTCTTTCATATTCCTGAGGCATCTTCTCAGCATATAAAACAAAGGCAGAGACTTTTAGTATTCTTCTCTTTGCTGATAATTTTTATTTACTTAGGGAACCTTTTTACAGATAAGCATAAAATATTAAACAGAAAGCCTGGAAGGGACTGTATTAGGCAGTACACAGCACCAAGGCAGCCTCTTACTGCATTCCCATCTTCCCCAGAATATAATTTAACAGCCTTCTAGAATCTATGGTTTCTCCCTGATAAAACACATTTTAACTGCTAACTATATAAAGGAAATTTATCTCTGCCTAGATTTCTTTTTATCATAACTTCATAGCTGAATTGACTAGTAATTAACTAAAAAGTAACATTAATTCCCCAAATAAGTCAGACTTCAGATAGTCTATGTTGTACAGTGAATCTGTTTTGTAAGAGAGATGATAGATTAGGAATATTTTGAAGAATTTAGACAATAAGTTCCACAAAAATGTTTTCTCTACTTACTTGTTTTTCAATTTCCTTTAGTCGACTCTCATCTTTTTGAAATTCATGAAATGCTTCTTTCACCAGTCTGTCTAGATCTACCTTGTCTTGAAATTCTAGCTCAGGGTTTCTTTCCAGTACAATGGATACAACCATTAGTAACTAGAAAAGAAAAACATTGAAAACCATAATACTGACATGGTCTAGACATGTTTTCATTCTTTAATCAAATCGATAAATGATCCCAATAATACACAGTGTGCATTCCATGATGAGGGCGTCAACGATGGATGGAATTTTCCTATTTTTTCAAATCAGAGACATAAAGCTGTTTGAAAGCTGTACTTTTTTTTTCACTGTATATATCCCTGTAGCTGTGTAGTAGAGTTTTCTTCATCACTTAAAAAAATATAACTTTGAAAAATGACTTTCCTGACCCTGTACATGTAGTACATGGTGCTCTAGTCACTCAAAATGTCTGAACTCTTTCAGAGCCTTTGGGCATCAATCCTTGTTGGAAAGGCAAGAAAAACAATGTCCAGTGGAGCAGGGCTGCCATAGAAAAGGGAGCAGAGAGCACAGCCAGAGAAGGCACGGGAGGTCAGTGAAGACTTTGCCACTAGATTCATGATTGAATGACTTGGAGCCCAGCACCTCAAAATGAGTACAAAAGTCTCTAACGAAGTTTCTCAGGGGATGGCTATGTTTTTAAGAAAATGCACTTGACTCTGACCTCTTTATGACATGGGTACTATCTTAGTTTATACTGACCACCCTTTGGGTTGGCCAACCCACACATTTAGTCTAAGTGATAATGCTCATTTCAAATGACAAACTCCTATACCCGAAGACTGTCTCTGAGTATGCAATGACAGGTAAAGACTCTCTGCTGATGTTTATGGTTCCTCCTTGGTATAATGAATAGGAAACAGACCTCATAGTCCCCAATTTGAGACTCTTACTGACTGTACTTTATCAACAACAGATTCTGAAAGAACCCAAGGAAACACTTTCAATAAAATCCAGAGATCCCAATGTGGGAGACTGAAGAACAGAGCTTTACACAAGAGAATATGAAGTTTTGGTATTGTTCTAAAGGAAAATGTCTTCTGCAAAGGGAATGCACTTCACTTTGGTTAATGAGGAGGATCTCTAGGTCTCAGATGCAGGGTACTAGACATGGAAAGTTAAGGTAACAGCACAGGGAAGGCATTCGCCATCTAATAGCCCCATATTTTCTCTGGCTTGCTCTCACATGCCATTAAACCAGCTGATACTGTCCCATCTCGTGGAACATTAGAGATGAGGTTGAATTTCACTCAATTCTAACTGTAGCTCCAGAAATGCTGGATATTAGAAAGGGCCACATCCAGCTGAGCACGCACTGACAGCTTCTGTATCTATTAAGACATAATACCTACCCTCAAGAAACACAAAGTCTAACAGAGACATTCCCAGAGAAGGAGTCAAAGTGAAGATCAAGCCCATCCATTTTGGGGGGGTTCTCTATATGTATAGGATAATGTTTTAAAGTGACAAAAAGGCATGTGCACACATGTGTTTTGCATGTCTGTGTATTTTAGTATTTAACTTCAAACGGAGCAGTGATGACACAGCCCCAAATTTAATGTCTTCGCATCATAGAGAGAGGTTGGGAAACATGTCCCTCAATATATTAACAGCAATGATCTCTTGACAGTGGGTATAGAGAATATTTTTTATTTCTATAATTTTCTATTGAAATTTTCACAATGGTTATGTATTATTTCTATAAATTGAAAAATCTGTAAACCAAAAGGCCCTTCCTATATTAAAAAAAAAAAATTGTTTCCAGAGGGAATGTGCACTCTCCAGAGAAAGACAAGAGAACAAAGAGAGGGAGAGGAAGAAAGCATCCCCTCTCTCCATGGGGTGCAGACATGCTGCAATCCTTTCTCCTCTGCTCCTCTATCCTGTTGGGATTTGGGGCATGCATGCATATGTGCCCAGAATCTTTTTCAAACTGCTGGGGCCAGGATTCAATCCATGTAATTGGTCATGTGGGATCTGGATTCCTTAACCACGGGGCCACAGGACTAGCCCCACTTCTTTTATAGTTATGGGGTTGCTAACACACTTGCTGTTGAGAGGAGTGTGCAGTTGAAAAACTGAGCTGTTAGTTTTCCCACCCTGAAGGAGTTTAAGATGTTTGAATTGTTCAGGGGCCTTGACTTGGGTCAAGGATGACCATCTTCTTGAATACTTGACAGGAGAAGATCAGGGTTAGGTGAGGTATAGAATTCTTGGTCCCTTGGGCAGTTTTCCTTATACTAGTTTTCAGGAAGTGACAGCATTTTTCAGCAATTTACATTTCTTAATACAAACCTCCACGATGATCTGTCTGTACTTTGGCTGGTCAATATTTCCCAACATGTCTTCAACAAGGAGAGAGAAATTCATCTCATACATAGTCATATCTGATAGGGTTGGTTGCTGAAAAAAATAACTCCACATTAACATGCCAAATTGGTATTCTCTGGTTCTCATTTCCAATAATACTTTTCAGTTTCTATAAAACCTTAGGGAGTGTTTTCAGCTATACCACTAGATCCTTTATATAACAAACTACTGAAGCCAACCAGCTGACTAGTGTGATAAATTAACTTTCCCAATTTTAGCAGTTATTTTCACTATATTAATGTTTTTAGGAGAAAGAGACAATATTAGAAAACCACTTCAATACACAAAAGGAATGTCCCAAAATTGAGGTAACAAATAGAGTACACATTGCTTTAAAAATTAACACAAGCAGTTATGTTTGCTGTCAGATGTTAGCATGAAAGTCACTTGCTATTGAATTTACATCATTTCTGTGACAGGGCCTTCCTGAGCGGGCAGCATACAAACAAGCAAAAACAATTATCAAGTACACAAATGGCAAGAAAACAGAAAACCAAGTAAGACTAAAAGAATTTTCTCTGCTCTGCCTTTTATCTTTCATTTAAAATAAGAGTCTTCCGTTACTTTGCACAAACTAAACAAAAGTAGAAAATAAACTCAAATCCAAATCCAGATCTAGGCATGGAGGATAACCCTCAAAGGATGGAAGGAAAAGATCAAAATGTTAGGCATGTATGGTGGAAAGGAGAGGCACTGCAATTATTACTAGAGATAGAGAAATGATGAAACATACTTACTTGCTTTTACCTAAATGATTATTGAGAGTGAACTTTATCATGTCTTTAGAATATTATCTTTTTATTATTCAAAATGGGACTCTGGAGAAGTTCTCCTTCAATCAAGGGACAACACAGGCGTTCAGCCAGGTGTAATAATGTCTCATCCTATACTCAATCCTATCCATCTATCGTATTGTATACTCAATACAATCCAACGTATAACTAATGTTTATCAGTAGTACCAGATTTGGGGAAAATGAAGGCTGATTCCTTGACACAGTTACTGTGATTGTTTAGACGTCTAGCAGTAAGATTAATGGGATTACATAAGGAATGGAAGACCCTTTCATAGTTTCACATTAACTTCCTAATATATCTCATTTAAAAAGTCAACCTAGTTATTAGGCAATTATGATCATTACATCTACAAAAGAGATATCAAAGTTGCCTGCTTTCCCACTGTTCTGAAAGGAAACAGCATAAGCAGTGCAGCAGAGAAGTTAAGAGAAAAGGCAGGTCACATCCTGGGTCAGCAACTTGCTAGATGCCTGACCTTGGGCAAATCATTTAGCTGTGCTTCAGTTGTTTTTGTCAAACAGGAATAATAAAATCCTCAAAAGATTACTGGGAGGATTATATGAGCACAGAGAAAAGTGCCTGGTGCCATAAGAATACTTAACATGAATTTACTGTTGTTACTGTTAGCAAAGAGGATACTAAATGTATGTGAATCAGGCTATCAGACACTTAAATGACAAGTCTGGTTAAGTTTTTTTTTTTTTTTTTTGGAGAGGTTTTCGCTATAAGGCATGTGCGCTCGCCAGAAAGACAGAGAGAAACATAGAGACAGAAAGCGAGAAATCACCCCCCCAGGGGGGATGGTCACGCCGCAATCCCTTCTCCTCCATTCTCCTCTCGGGTTCTTGGGCATGCACACACATGCGCCCGGCATGAGTTCTAAGCCACCGGGTCCGGGACGCAAACCGCGGTCAACTACGTGGGAGTCCAGTGACATAGCCATTACGCTAACTGCTGGTTCCCAAGCCTGGTTAAGTATTAGTGGGTGTTTATAAAGATGCTAAGAAAAGGTTGCCCTAGCACACCACCCAGATATGCACAGTGTAGGCCAAGAAGAAGAGGCAGGATGTTAACAAGTGAGCCCTGCCCTCTGCTCCCAGGATACAGGGATGTTCTAGAACAGTAATCAGAAAGCATGTGGGAAAAAACTGGACCACCTAGGCTGACAACCAAATAAAACCACTGGTAGTCTGTGGACAGTGTAAAGAATACTTTTTTAAAAGATTTGTTTAGTTTTTTGAATAAGTAATCCAATTACATAGTTCAAACTTCGAATGGTTGAAAAGAGTTTCAATGAAACTCCAACACTATCCACCCAGCCACACAGTTCCTTTTCCCAAAAGAAAAGTAAAAAGCTACCAATTTCTTGTGGGTCCTTCCAGAGATACTCTTATATATACATAATAAAATCAATGTGGCATGTGTTGTAAGAATACTTTGTAAAAAGAGCTACATAGAAATTAATTGGAAAGTCTTGAAACAAATGTAGGTCTTTTTTTTAATTTTTCCCCAAAGGCAAGTTGTTCCCTTTTGTGTATAAACGGAGTGATTTAGATGCCAGGATTCAATAAAGTAATCACAGCAACGACATAGACCACTTTATATAACTTCACAAACTATCTGAAGGAGGGGGTGGAAATTCATTTGGACCCCAGGTAAGTTATAACTTGTGTAAAAAGCAGGTGATTCTTTGCCTAATGACCTAAAAACAGACCATTTTTCACATTCAGTGCAATTCCTAATTATTTGCAGCATTTCTGGGTCACGTTGCTTCTTAGATCTAATCTGGAGCTATTTTTCAAGGTATGTCTTATTGTCTGTGAGGTCCCCCACCACTGGCCCATCACCACTTAGTGATGAAGGAATAATCCTAGCTAAAGTAAAGCCATCTGACATATGATAGTACAAAAAAGAATTTTGGCTAAATACAACTTTTTTGGCAATACATCCATTAGGTAAAGCAAGTTTTTTGCTTTACCTAGAGGGAAAAGCTTTTTGAGAGGGACTCTAAAAATTGAAAAATTAAAGTAACTCAG